AATAAGATTTAGAACTTAAAATCGATGTTACCACCAATATCACCAACATCCATTAATTAACAACCCAGAAATTGAAAGTTTTCAAATTACAATTCTAAAAAGGTTTAAAACTTAGTTTCGGTACAAAAAAAATAACACAAATATAAAAGAAAACTAGAGAAAAACTAGGAAATTTAGAAAATAGTTTGTGGAACTTGGGGACTCTTCAAGTTAACTAAGGCTGAATGTCGCCTTGCAAGGCCTCGGTATTTCCTTCATTTTCTTCGGTACCTGACATAAAACGCCAGGGCAACGAGAATGTCAATGAGCAACGAGCTCAATAATATACTACAACCCGAAAATACCTACCCCGATAATAATACTCACAATTAATGAATAATGCGTAGTAATAGAATAACATATAGCATTAATAAGCATAACATGAATGCCAATAGTTAAAATAATAACAATAGATAAATAAATAAATAAATAAAAAATGACAAACGGAAATAGTATTTCATCTTAAGGAAAATGCACACTTTTCTTTTTAAATTCTCATAGATTTAGTTTATCTGATAAATTTAAGTAACTCCCCGCGGAGCACTATTTCCACTCAACCGCTAAGCAATGGCCACAGGCAATTCTGACTCTCCCTTGGTCAAATATTCAAATGTTACTTGCTGTAACTACCAATGATGCCCATGCACTAGGGTTACGTACTCGAGTCGTGATATCACGGTCTGCCCCAAGAAAACGGTCTATGTTATGACACCAGCACAACCAACCTTATATCACCTACACCGATATGAGCCAAAATACATTCCTGTGCCATGTTAGGGTTTGCAACTCACTGGCGCAAACTTCTAAACCGGGCTCACCCCATCACTTTTAAATTTTTGATGTATCATTGGTTCAATTTCGTGTTTCTTCACTTCGTCGAATTCATTTTTTTTTTTTTTTTTGCATGTGCGAGTTTTAGCTCAATAACCACAGTGATATAAGGTTTATATAGCACAACACAATCATATACGGTAACCAAAATAAATGTGATAGAATGTCTTAGGAATCATCACAAGATTTCTTAAGAATTAATACACTTTTTCTATCAGCACTGTATGGTCAGACAAAAAAAATATGAAACCCATACCAAACGAAGTTCAACCATTATAATATTTTAACTGGTGCTACTTCATCGAGTTAGGAAAATATTTTGAGGAGAATACCAGGGCTAAAAACGATTTTGAAATGGAGAAATTGTTTTTGGAAGAAAACTAGTTTTCTGAGACAGTAAGTTACATTAACCTCTAGCACAGGTGTTCTGTGTTCGAAAAATAAAAAGGGGCCTCAAACGGTGTCGAAAAGAGGCATGGTCAGAACGGTTTGCTAAATGTTTGAGTTTAGAACATATTTCCAGAATAGTGTGAAGACTGAAAACAGTCGAAAATGGTCAAATAATTTTTATAAGAAAACTGGACAGATTCTGTCACATTTTGGAAAAATTGGCGTTTTTCTCTCAATACTGAATAAAAAATTATGAAACCAGCGGCGTTTGAAAGGTAACTTAAAAATATAACTTTTTCAATTTGAATCACTTGAAAATTAATTTTGTGGAATAAACAGTGACCTAGTAAAGTCAGCTTTGCTGTTGCCTCCAAACAACAATGAAGTTAAAAATATATTCAGGCCATGAAATGTTGTCAAATAATTTTATTCAACATTCTAGCACCATGAAAACACGTTAAACTAACTCCAGTAGTTTCAGATTTTATGAAAGTGTTCTCATGAGTTTGTTTAGGGTTTATTCAAAACGGACTAAAAATCTGTTTTGCTGGAAGTTCATTCGTTTGTGAAAAACACACTTTGTATCCACCGTGAATCACATGCAAGACTAAAAAAAATGTTTCTTACTATTATTCCCATGTGAAACTCTAATCCTTCATATTTACTTTCATTAGTGATAACAGAAAATAATATTCATGAAGAGTAAACACAAATTCATAAGCATGCAAGATTGATTCAACAATGAAGAATACTTGATCACATAAAGAGCAAAATCATTAGCTAAACCCCCTAATCCATACTTGAAAGAAGGAAAAAAATCACATAATCATAAGATTATCATTCTATCCAAATGTAACATGCATTGAGTATTGGTGTATTATCAATACACACTCTTGCATATTAATGTATAGATTTAGTTAAGAAAAAATCTAAGGGAGGATAGGGGTTGAGTATTTTTACCTCAATGAAGTAAAAAAAAAAAATCCCAAGTGTTGAGCCTTTCTTCCCCTCTCTTCTCTCCATTCCCTCTTGCTTTCTCTCCCTGTCTTTCTCTTTGTTTTGCTCAATTACGTGTGTGTGTAATGGAAGGCTGAATAGTGCTCCTAATTATAGGAGTTTGAGGGCCTAACTTATTATTATTATTATTATTATATTTTTACTTTATTTCTCTTTTAGCTTAGGAACTATCATCTAATAGGATAGCTTACAGTTTGTTTGCATGCCATGGTTGCCTTGACAAAGGCTTGGAATTGCTATCTATGCATGTAGGCATGGAGTGTGGCAGTAAGCAAAAGCATGCATTGGCATGCTTGGGCCGAATTCCTCTGCCAAAAATAAATTTTGATTTTTTTTTGGGTACAAAATAAAAATCAATTGAATATATATATATATATATATAACCTAGTCACTAGATATTTTGCTCCCTACTATTCTCTTACTAACGTAGTTATTATTTGTTTAACTCATTTAGTTTCCATAACTATATTTAGATACAAATTTTATTTTATTTTTTTCACAGAAAGATAAATAATTTTATTTAAAGGAATCTAATATTGGTATTAACCATGATGCTATTAATATTACAATTCGATAATTTAATAATCACTGTTAACTGACTTAATATTATTATTAATCAAACTAATTAGTTGTCTAAAAATTCAAGTTCTCACATTTACCCTCGTCTTCATCTTCTTCTTCTCATCTTCATCTCTTCATTTTCTTTTCAGTTCTCCTTCTCCTCTTCTCCATTTTTTTTTTCCTTTTCACAAACCCAAAAGGTAGAAGGTAGATATATATATATATATATACATATATGCTTCTTCTTTTAAAGTGAGTTTCATCTTCTCAAATCAATGTCGGAGCTGCCAGAGTGTGCGAAAACAATTTTTAAAATTTTGAAAACAATTTTGATGTTTGCTAAAAAGCATGTATTTTTTAGAAAATTTCCAAAACAGTTCATAAAACAAGTATTATCCAAAAATAAAAACCCAACAAAATGATTCCAAAACATCAAAATCCACCAAAGGAAAAAAAAAGATGGCAAGAAACAAACTAAATCAAAGTCATATCTTGAAATGCGTTGAGAACCAAATGCAAGAACATAAACATTCACAAATCTGAACAAAAACCCATGTCAAAAAAAGAAAAAAAATGGGATGAGATACATAGATTATGTACGAGCACGAAATAATTCTTCTCGTATGATCCTGTTGATCAAGCTTGTGCTCCTCGAAACGTCGTCGCTTTGCCACCTGAAAACACAAACGTGAGCTAACCGGTGGGTGTGTGCCGGAAACCCCTCCGATGCCTAAGTCAGTACAATAGACAATAGACACAAAAGCTCTGTGAATTCAGGAATCAAAGTTGTGTTACCTCACCATAGGTGATGTTGTGAGCTCTTATAGGTTCCGCATGGCACAATCCTACGCGTAGAGTCCTCTTAGGAGTCACACCCCTGAAAGATAATGCTTATCTTTCAACACCCGCCTCACTGCTTAAACCAAGTGAGATGGTTTTACTTCGGTAGTATGACAAAACGACCGGGATAAAACAGCCATGCTAAACTGGCTGAAATGACCGAGCTCTAGCTAGCTCGGTTCTCTCCTCTGTTACTTGTACTTCGGTTTCACCTGTTGAGACCGTGCTATCCATAGTGTGCCTAGACCGAGCTATTCAACAGCAAGGTCCTGAGAAAAGGCCCAAAATATCTCGGCTCAATATGGTTTGACCAAACTAACTGTCGCCGCTTTGACCGTGCCGATCGAGCTAACTACAAAGCTCTTTTGGACCGGCTAACTTCAAGGCCCTTTTACTCAGTCCTTACTGTGGCTCACAGAATGGCCCATTACCCAGCTTGGCCCAATTTACATATAAATTACCTTTTCAATTGCCCCTTAATTCCATCTGCGTAGCATGATAGGGATTATCTTTTACCAGCCGAGCTAAAAACTTTAGCTTTTCAACCGAGCTAAATCCACACCGGGCTACCCATCTGTCCGGTAAAAAACATCCCTTCAGTCGTTGTAACTGAATTGTTTCTCATTCCAAGAACAAGTGGCACACTCTCATTGGCCCAATGCAACTGTCACGCCGTCTTCATACTTCGCGTATTTTGAACAGTCCCACCTTTTTTCCTTCCCTTTTCACAAAACAAACCCTAAAGCTTCGAATCCATCATTTTACTATTCATCTTCTCTCTCTCTTGCTTGAGCCTCAATTTCTGCAACCATTATTTTTTGCAAAGCTCGTGTTCGTTGTTGCCACTACTTCCATCTCTAGCTCCTTCATCTTCATACTTATAAATAACTTAATCCTCTTTTCTTTTTGTTGATTTCGTATTTATTTTGTACAACATAGTATGTGTATTTGTATGTTTTGGCAAAAACACATATTCCTATTTTTGCTTTAGCCTTGTGTTTCCTGGAAAAAACCTTGTAATATGACCACTGTATATATGAGCAATCCGAACAATTTTCCCTTTGATCCAAAATTTCACTCCAACCGAACTAGGATACTGTTTGTATTTAGGCGCAAGCTTAGCCAAACTTAATCAACCGAACTAAAACCTGTGGTTATAATAGGTCTAAGTACCTTTTGCCACACTTTAGCCGAGCTAGCGATCTGCCTTAGGTTTGCGTAATACCGCGCTAGAAAGCCACAATCACGGTCCGAGCTAAAACTTGGGGCTAAACCAACTTCCTTAGTCAAAACCGAACAAGGATGCTACCCAAAAGCTCCCACCGGGCTACGTATTTCATATTTACTTAACCTAGCTAAGGTCCTTTGTTTGAACCGAGCTAAGAATGAATAGTAACCCACACAGCCGAGCTAAGACAGCGTTTATCTTTCCTTTTATGCTTTTAGCACGATCCATCGATCTGTGCTTAACACTTTTCCTTTTCACTTTACAGACTTAGGTTGGCCAGGCACTCCCTTGAACGCTTCAACCAAGATACTCCATATCATCTCAACACCGAGATAACACTTAAGGATAATTTATACATAATTTAAGCCCATATGGGAAAGTACAGGTTCTTAGTAAACTCACCAAGTGCTATGGCCGAGTTCCGAAGGGACTACCATATCCCTGATGATGTCCATCTTACCTTGGCCGAACTAGATACCACACCCTGGAGAAACCCTGGCTTTGTTCCCTTTACCCTTCTTTCCATTGTAGAAACCGGACTAAGATTCCCTGTACAACCTCTTCTTTGCGAGTTCCTTAGACAAACCAACCTCTGCCCTACCCAACTTTCCACAAATTCATACCGTATAACAAATGGCATTGCCGAGCTAAACCGCCGAACTGGCCTTAACCTTGGTTTAGCCAAGCTCTTCCACCAATATTCCACAGGGTCAAATGAAGATGGCTAGGTTTACTATTTGAGAATAAGGCGCCAGCGTGAAAAGATAATAAAAAATACCCCAGATAAAGATGTAAACGACGATGATTTTTTCTGGATTTCTTGGCGTTTTGAAGACCATGAGGCCTAGATCCCAGGCAACCGAATAAACTGGAACAAAGGAGTCGCCGATATAATTACCTCGGCTCAAATTCACATTTTTCTTTGCTTCGGTTTTCACATCTTGAATCATACTAACTGTTGTCTCTTTTACTTCATGCTGATTTTGAACTTTCTCAAGTCCCAGTACAGCTACCCCAACTTGAATGCACTTCGCGCCGCTCTGCGATATCCCAACAGAAGTTGGGCTGAGCTACTGAATTTTGAACCAACATACAGATACAGCAGCCGTAGGAAGACCAGGGTGACCGATTTCCTCCTTGACCCTTCACTAGAGCCAGACCTAACCTTGCCTCAAGTCAATTTGATCCCGTTGACAGCGGAGCAAGAGATGGCCAAGAAACGAGCAGTAACGACCCTCTTAACTGAAACAAACCAAGCCGAGGTACCACGAGCCAGCCAAACTCAAGAGATCGTGGTAGCCCTGCCAACCCATCAGCCTTCATCATCTCGGGCAAGCAAGCGTGCTTGGACTTCCACAACCGAGCCACGCCTTGTCGACGAGGATGAAACTGTGGTTCCTCAAACCAATCCACCAAGCCCTCCACCCGAGCGCTCTGACCGAGCTAGCTCTTCAAAGTGGGCACCAAAGATCACGTTTCAAAACCATGCTATCAAGGATTCTGACTCTGTGGTCGTAAAAAAGGACCATTTCTTGGTGTTCAACCTCGCCAAAAGTGTTTGCCTTCCAGCCGACATGGAGCACCACAACCATCTAACCGAGCTGAAGGCCATTCGCTCAGCCACAAAATCAATGGTGCTGGTAAGTTACGCCTTTGCTTGTCTTTCTAATTTGAACGACTTTCCACTCGATTTCTTTTAAAAGTTTCTTACCATCCTTTTGCAGGCCATGCAGAAAAACCACATTGCTCACAAGCGAGTGCTGGAACTGCGCAAAACCACAAGGCAGGCTGTGGCAGAAGCTAATGCCAAAACCACCGAGCTGGAAGAGTCAAAGAAGCAAGTAGCCGAGCTACAAACCGAGATGGCACGTCTGACCGGTCTAGTCAGTTCGGCTGAGGCAGATAAAAAAGGCTGCGGCCGTGGTAAAAGATAAGTACCTATGCGAGCTGGCCAAGCTTGAGGGCAAGAAGAATGCTGAAATTGCCAAGCTGGAGAAGAAAGTAGATGACACAGAGGACCGGGGTTACAAGGAGAGGGAGGCCACTTATATTAAGCAATGCGAAGCTGCGAAAGATCTCTTCTTCAAATGCGGATGGAAGGCGGCTGTGGCGTAGCTCGGTCATGGTCCAGAGACCGAGGTCTTCAACCCTCCCCTGTATTTCATACCGAGCTGTATGGCGGAGTACGCTGCTGCCATTCAGCAAAAATTTCTGCAAGAGGGAGAGGACGAAGATTCTGCTCCAGAAGACAACACCCAGCCCGGCCGCCAGTCTATCTCCCCAACTCCACTGGTCTCCGTCCCTTCTTTGCCCGTCGTGTCTGATGCGGTGCCTTCGTCCGAGCTCAACCAAGGGGGGCTAGGCACAATCGAGTTACCTCTGGGTGAAGACCGGGTTGTTCTGGATGCCGATTTAGATGACCTCTTTGCTTGATTATGTACTTTTCTTTTCTTTAGGTGCTAACTTTGGAAGTTTTTGTAACCGGGCTTATGGCCCCATCTCTTGTACTTTGACTTTGCATTATCAATGAAATCATCTTTTGTTTTCCTCAACTATCTGTTCGGTTTACTTCTATGCTTGTATTTACTTTCCCAATATAATCTGAATGAAGTAAATTCTCTGGCCGAGATATTTATCCCGGTCTTAACTTTGCAATCTAACGGGCCATACCTGCCAACTTCTTTAGCCTAGATCCTTATCTCGGCTAAAGAACAACAAGTGTTTGGTTTTTTCGGCCATCCTCTTCAGCCTAGATCCTTATCTTGGCTGAAGAACAATAAGTGTTGGTTTTTCCAGCCAACCTCTTCAGCCTAGATCCTAAGCTTAGCTGAAGAGAGCTCAAAGTTGGTTTTTTCTGCCAACCCTGAGTGAAGTGTTTGGTTATTCCTGCCAAACGTCCTGTAGCCTGGATCCTTTATCCTGGGCTTAGAAGGGGTGTTGGTTATTCCAGCCAACCTCTAAGTTGGTTATTCCTGCCAAACTAGAGTAAAGTGTTTGGTTATTCCTGCCAAACGTCCTGCAGCCTGGATCCTTATCTTGGGCTTAGGAGGGGTGTTGGTTATTCCAGCCAACCTCTAAGTTAGTTATTCCTGCCAACCTAGAGTAAAGTGTTTGGTTATTCCTGCCAAACGTCCTGCAGCCTGGATCCTTATCCTAGGCTTAGGAGGGGTTAAAGTTGGTTATTCTGACCAACTATGCTTTTAATTCCCCTAGCTCACTAAAACAGTCTTTTACAGAAGGAAACAACTATGCTGAAAAGAAACTACTTGTTTTATTGAGAAAGGAAAACTACAACTGAGTTTAAAGAAAAGCTAAAAATAAAATAGTTTGAGATTGGCAGTGTTTCATGGCCTGGGAATGGCTTTGTTGTCTTCATCTTCCAAGTGGTATGCCCTTTTTCCTGCTAATCCAATCACCTTGTAAGGTCCTTCCCAATTAGGCCCTAACTTGCCATCTCCGGGTACCAAGGTGTTTCCCATTACTTTACGCAGCACCCAATCTCCGATCTTGAATTGCTTTGGATGTACTGTCTTGTTATACTTTCTGGACAACTCTTGCTGGTACGAGGCAATGTGAACCAGTGCTCTTTCTCTTCTTTCTTCCGCAAGGTCGAATTCCAAGGCCATGGCTTCCCCATTTAAGTCTGGATCGAAATTTTCGCTTCTAATTGTGGGGAGGCCGACTTCTAGTGGGATTACTGCCTCCATGCCATAGGCTAAAGAGAATGGCATTTCTCCGTTTGATCGGCGAGGTGTGGTACGGTAAGCCCATAAAACATGAGGAAATTCCTCAGCCCACTTGCCTTTTGCTTTCTCTAATCTTTTCTTCAATCCATCCAAGACGATCTTGTTTGTTGCTTCCGCCTGGCCATTTGCTTGGGGGTATGCCAGTGTAGACGTCCCCGAACGCCCCGGGAGGATGAGTCCCGTTCTGTTCATTTTGGGCTCACTATAGTTCAGGACTCAATGTCACGGTCTTGTATCTAATCTCGCAGAGTGCAATGCAAGACCGATGACTCATCAAAGAGTCCAAATCCGGCAAATCGTTTTTGAAAACAGATTTTTTGAAAGAAGTGTTAAACATGGACTGCTTTGCCAGATACAGAGTCGCCACCTAAATATTTTATTTTGGGAAAATTTAGAAAACCCTGACTCGTTGCCTAAGGCCACGTGTCCGTCATCACCAAAGTTGCCTCAGCTCGGGAACTTGGGTATGATTGGGGAAGGTCACTTCGTGAGCACCCCCGCTTGCCCGATCAAAGATCGGCCTCTACTAACCATGATATCTAGTTTTGAAAACATTATGCGTTCTTATTCCGGTTATTAGCCTAGATTTACTATGTGATGCGCACAGCATACAAGTATAGACTGGATCGCCTGAATTGGAACAAAACATTTCATGTTTGTTTTGAAAATGGTTTGATGGTGCTACCCGCAAGTAAGCTAAGACGTGGATTTGCCACCCTCGGGTGGGCTTAGAAAAAATGATTTTGCCTCTCTCAAGTGGGCTTAAAACTCGCATTTAATGAATTGTTCCAATCCAAATAACCCAACCTTCACCCACAGGCATTCAGGTAGTTATATCACATAAGCAAATAGCCTCATGGTAAGCATGCTATCATGGCAGTCACTCACACGCATGCGAGGATGCTAAAGCATAAAACTTACCGAGTACTCCAAGCCAAAACATAAGCTATGTTAGAAATTCATGCATGACCCTAACTATACAGAAATGCCCAATGCAACACATGCAAAATGTAACTATAGTAGGCTCCGCTATTCTAAAATTACATGTGAAATGCTACAGCTAACAAGTATTCAACTCGAAATTGAGATACAGATGCAGTTAGTATGATGCGCCGAGCCCGGTGCATGCAATACAGATGAATGATGCAAACATGCTATCATAAGTATGCTAATTGAAACATGCCCTAATCTAACCATCATAAGCTGGTAAATAAAAGGGAGAAAGACGTGGGGTTGGAAGACATACATCACACGCACGCACACTTATTACAATTGTGCCCTCGCTCGGAGGGTCTGAATAAATAATATGCAGTCCGAATAAATAGTACAGTCCGAATAAATACAAAATCCTAATTAATTAACAAATTAATCTAGGAAAGCAGATAAATTAGCACGCAAATCCATGGACTGCCTTAGCTCTTAATCCGAATGATGAATGATGCATGCTTGAGTTGCTTGGCGCGGAAATCCATTGCGATGCCCCAATTCACCTCTGTTTACACTTAATCCCGGAATGTTGTGCGACGTTCCAGAAGGCTGTTGATTTCTGATTTGCTGCAACAGAGAGCAAGAAAGGGGGCATGGCAAAGTATTTTCACATATGTATGCATGACTACTCTTCAGGGAGCGTAGTTCTCGATCCTCGTGCCACCAATCACGCATCTCGATGCATGATGGCCGAGGAGTCGAATTGCACGACTTGATGTGAAATGAATGCACATATAAATACAACAAGACCTAAACTCCATCATGGGTAATCCGGAGTGTCGGCGACCTGGAATTGAGACACGTTCCGTCACTCGGAGTACGAAACGTCCCTCGTTTCCCGTGCTTAGACTAACTCCTATCCCAAACACAATGCAAATGAGATGGCATACACAATGCGACTAACGTAGAACCTAGCATACGCAATGCTATGAAATGGCATACACAATGCACGACGCAACATGACATACACAATGCTCTAACATACAACCTAGCATACGTAGCCATTAGATGAAAATGAGACAACCGAAATGCGTGCACACATGCACGCATACCGAGGACTGAACCTAAGGCATCAAATGTCACTCTACCAAAGCATGGCAAGGGATGAAAGATGGCATATAAACATATAATTTCTAGCACTGAAACATGATGCTAAATGATCCCGAAACATGGAAATATGGCACCCGATGCATGGAATAAGCCTCGAAATTCAAAACTAAGCACATGTATTGAACTACAAGTATACAAAGAAAGCATTATTTGATCATGAAGTCAAAAGACAGAGCCAAGGTAGTCTCAAAACATGCACATTTCTAGTTTAGAACATGGCCAAAAGATGCTAACATGATGGACTAAAATAGCATGCAACATTAGCGAGCGAGCAAGCATGGTTTACATGGCATGTATATGAAGAAAATGAGAACTCATCAAACCAGCCAAAAACAGTGAACAAAACATGCCAAAATATGCCAAAATAATCACTGAAATACAGCCAATGCATGCAAAAATGAGGGGCTTCTTTGAAAGGCCATTCAAGGGGTTATTAAGCACATATAAGATAGACACTTAGCATGACCAAACAAAATCTGGAAATGAGTTATGACAGCCCTAAAACTCACAAAATTGGCCCTGAAATCAGTCTAGGAAATATGCAAAGAAAGGCTCCTTTGAAGAGCCTTGGATGGGATTGCTCTACACATGCATTGTAGACATAAAATATGATCAAAAGGGCCCTGGACAGACCTAAGGAAAACTTTAAAACCCACAAAATTGGGCCCAAAAAGTGAATCCAAAGCATGCAAAATAGAGCCCCTTTGGAAAGCCAATGATGCTAGTAAAGAAAATGAGGGGTGAGAGGGTCACCCCTCTATGATTTCAAAGCTCAAAACCTCATCAAAGCCACTGAAAATTCCCTGAATTTCAGTGGTCAAGAGGCCAAAATAAGTCCAATGCAAATGCTCTAATGCATAGCCCTAATCATGAAGAGATGAAGAATGCAAGGAAGGAGATGACTCCAAACGGAAAGGTGACCTCAAGAAAAATTAAAGAGGAGGTCAAAACAAGGCTTTTTCTAGTTTATAACAAATCTCGAAAATGTTCACAAGTAGGGCTAAAGTATGATGCAAAAAACAACCCTAAAAGAGAGATAGAGGGTAAGCGGAAGTAGATGACCTCAAACAGAAAAGTTCCCTTAAATAAAGTTGAAGAGAAGCTCAAAATATGACACTTTCTAGTTTATCACAAAGCCCAGAAATACTTTCAAGTGAAGATAAGTAATGAAGCAAAAAAATGCAAGCTTAAGGGAACTAGACACTTACCCTTGAAGAGCCGACCTCCAGCAGCTTTCGGACCAAGTTGGTGAGCTTTCAACCTCTGCAAATGACTTCCAAAGTGCTAGAATGGATGATGGAGGTGTGGTGCTAAGGGTTGTAGTGCAAATAGACCAAGAAAATTAGGGTTTTGGAGCTTGGAATAGTGACAATGGAGGTTTGTGTGTATATATCTCAGCCCAAAGCTTCTAACCCTTGCAAAGGGAGGTGGAGTGTGTGTTATATAGAGAGAGAAGGGTGAGGCTTCTTGGAGAAGCCAAGAGAGGGGTTCAAAGCTTCTAAAGGAAGCTTAACCAAAGGGTCAAGCTTCTTGAAAAAGCTAGACCAAAAAGGGTCAAGCTTCCAAAGGGGCCAAATCATCCTTCTCCCTAAGCGAAGGGGTCAAAACCCCCTTTTAAGGACCAAAACAGGGACAAAACCCTCGGACAGTGGGTCAAGTGCAAAACAACTAGCACAGTTGTGTTGCACTAGAGAAGAGCAAAAAGCAGAAAGCTGGCCGACCAGCTAAGGTGGCCGGCCGGTCACTCCCCCTGGTCGGCCGACCAGGGGTCAAAAGGGTCAACAAGAAATTCTGGCCGGCCACCCCAAAAAGATGGCCTCCCAGA